TAAAAAAATTAAAATTTTACTTTCTAAGCTAATTATAATTTTTTTTAGTAAAATAAATTCAGATTTAACATTAATTTAAAAAAAAAATTTTTTTAGAGTTTCCTTCCTTTCTACTGCAAGGCTCCCATATATTAAGGTAAAAATATTATACATATTAATTATTTAAAAAAAATTGAAATAAAAAATAATTAGAAAATCTATTTAAATCAGTATTAAAATTTTTTATTAAAATAATATTATAAGATTTAAAAATTTAAATTAAATTAACCCTATAAAAAATTTTTATTATTTCTTTATAGTTTATATTAAATTTTCATAAAAATTAGCTTTTTATAAAATTTGTATAAATAATATAAAATTTTTCATAATATAAAATTATATTCTATAAAAATGAGCTTTTCACAAAAAAAACATAAAAAACAAAATACAAATCAATTTTTTTTATAGAATAAATTTAAAATAATATTTTAAATATTTTATAAAAAAAAAAATATGATTAATTAATGAATAAATAAGAATTTTTATTTTAAATTTTTAATAAACTTTTATTTATAATATTATTTAGATTTATCAATTAAGTAAACTGAAATATGTAATTAATTAGAATAGGTAAAGGTAAATTTAACTCAGTTTAATTTTTGTAAAAGCCTTAAATATTCAAATATTTGAAATCATTAAGGTATAAAAGAAGATTTATTAACAAGTTTTATTTATAAATTCTTGGAATAATTTTGCTAACAAAGAAACTTAATATACTTTCAAAGATTTTATCACTTAACGATATTCATAAATTTTAGGATATCTTATTAAAAATAATTTATAAGGTAAGATTTTTGAATCCAATTTCAATCCCAAAATCAAAATTCCTAAAATATGATAAATTTTGAAGACTATTTATAACACATTCTTTTTATGTTATAGCTAAATCATTATATAATAATTATATAATAATTACTTCACCTTTTATAATATTCATATTCTAGATAATAATTAATACTTAACTATTATGTAATAATTTTATAATATTTTTCATTACATAATTAATTATATCTAAGTATTATCATATTATTATTATAAGACCAGCTGGTTAGTTAATTCAGATATGATTAAAGTTGCTTGTCTAAACTCATTTGGATTTGGCAAAATGGTAAAACCTTTAGTTTCGCTAAATTTTACTAAGTGTTTGATATAGTTTTGCCATTTTTATAAGCTTAAATATAGTTTTACCTTTTTCCAAATTTCGCAGATTTTTTAATAAGGTTTTAATATAATTTAACCAAGTTTTACTTTTACCATTTAGGCGTCTGTCTAAACTCTTGATTTCGTCCAGCAACCTTAGATATGATACTAGCATGTATATTAAATATTGCTAATTTTAAAATTTAATGTATACATATATAATTCTGCACATTTAAAAATATAATTTTTTATTTTTATATAATATTACACATTAGTGTTTTATATAAATATATATATATATTTCTGCATAAAATTTTTATTTTGAATTTCAAATACTGAATATTACTTTAGATTAGGTTAAATTAGTGATACCTGACTAAACTCTTTTTTGAAAAATTGTAATTTCGTCAAAAATTTTGTCTCTTTAATATTTTTATATGAATAAATATAAAATTATTATATTTTTTAATGTATTTTAATTCAAGGAATTTAGATCAAGTTAAATATAATTTTGGCAATTAAGTAAAATAATTTCATCATTAATAAAAAACTAGTTTCGTCATTTTAGTTTTGTCAATTTCGTCATATTAAGAAAGGTAATTTCATCAGGTATTACTAATCATAATAGAAATGCTAAATCTTTAGTAATTCTTGATACTCAATAGCAATATCAGGCAGGATGGGAGCATTATGTAAAAGGGAATTTAAAGTCACATGTAATAGAAGGACTATTACCATTCCCTATCAGTTCACAAATCTCAGCGTAATATCTTTACTATTAGGAAGGAATCAGAACCCATAAAAAAAACTGAATGACCAGACATGTCAGTACTGTGAGAAGGAGTTCACATATTCCCTATTTATTTTTACACCATAAAAAATCTAAATGTTAGATTATAGTCTAGACGATATACAGTAGTGGCGGAAAAAACTGGCAGTAAATAAAAATTTATTTACTTGATTAATATTTATTAAAATCGTTCGAAACTTAAAATCTAAATAAACTAATATCACATTTATTATATATTAAATTTTTAATATTGAATTACATTGCCATTCCTTTCAATTACCAAATTTACCTCCTTTCCATACTATTGACTAAATTAAGGCAGAGGTTTGTATCGATGTTGAACCATTCGCCCTTAATAATTTCCATAAAAATCCTTTGCGTAACTGACTTTTTTTCACTAATTCGTTTATTTACCTTCTTTTCCACCCTTTTCTTGATAATCGCCTACAAGTTTTCTATTGGATTCAGATCCAGAGAATATGACGGTCAATCAAGAACCAAAGGACATTTTTTGAGAAGAGATACCGTAAGCTTGGCTTTGTGCTTCGGATCATTGTCCTGTTGGAATGTCCAGGACCTTCCAAGAAGCTGATATGCTTGATCAAAAAGATTATTTGTTAAAATTTCACGGTATAACTCCCCATTCATATTTTCAGTAAACATGCAAAACCCAATGATTTCTTGCAAACAAAAAGCCTCCCAAACATGAATTTTGAATGGGTGTTTGACAACTTCACGAGTTAGTTTTTCTTCACCCTCTTTATAATAAACTAAGGTAGTGTTACAAAACATTTGAAAGGTCATTTCATCAGAAAAAACCACATTTTCCAATTTGATTTTTATGAACTTCTGCCCAAGAAACTCATCTCTCTTTTGCAATTGAAGTGAGGAATGGGATTTTTTTAGGAACACAAACTCGGTAATCAAGCTTTCAAAGGTTCTTACAGACTGTGTGAGTGGCTATGTTAAGGCCTGGGTAAGTATTATTAAGAGTGTCTGCAATTTCAAAACTTGTTGCACCAGCACGCAAACGAACGAGCTGATCAAGATGACACTGCTTTTTTGGACTTAAAACCTTTGGACGTCCTGGACGACATCGTTGCTTTAAATTTTTGGTTTTTTTAACTGGGATGACCACCGATACAGTGTCCTTAGTGGGAATTTGGTAATTTTGTGTAGTTCGTTTACATTTCGTATTCCATTATTCCACAACGACTTAACCATCTCACGTCGTTCTTTAATAGAAATTTTTTGCGGCATTATTGCATCATATCGGTCATGAGGTACTCTTGTGTACAGTTTTTTATGCATGTTGATCAGTGTAATGTAGTAAATAACCAAACAAAAAATTGGTTTGTATTATCCAATCAGATGTAATACAAATCATTATTTTAATCACATGATCGCGACTGCCATTTTTTCCCGCCACTATTGTAAATAAATACATATTAAATAATCGTCTAGTAGGCATAATTTATTTGCATAATTACGTAAATGGTGCCAATCAGGGGATAATTAAATTTTTAACATCCTGCAATTTCATAAAATTTATACAAACTCTTTTAAAATATATCCTTTAATGCGAAGACTTGTGATCTCCAGCAGGCAGGAAGGTGGTATATATTTTTATTAGTATATCAGTTCTTCATAATAATAATAAAAAAAATATAAAACAAAAATCTCTAATTTACGAAATATTAAAACAAAATTATATAAAGAAAATAAAGAAAAAACGAATCATCTGTTGCCTAAGACTATTATATTAATTAGATCAAAGATATAAATTACAACTAAATTCATTAGTTAAGTGAAAGTCTCGTATCATAATAAACATATAATACTAATTACTCCAGTTTATTTTGACTTGATGTTGCATATATAATATTGATTTACAAGTTTATTGTTAAAAGATAAACCAAGATTTCATTTTACATTATATAGCAAATAAATAGTAACAAAATGTTGAAAGAAAATCGGGTCAGATAAAATGGTATAAAAAAAAAAAAGAATAATGTTAGTGAAAGATTTCAATTTCCAAATATTTTGTAAATTAGTTAAAACAAAATTATTTGATAAAACTTTGAACAAAGTTTGATGCTTCAAAGAATCCAAACAGCATATTACAAAAGGGTATTAATTAATAAACAATGATATTAATAATATTTTTATTTTTTTTTACACAAAATTAAATTATCGTTCATGGGTATTAAAATCTAAAAAAATACGGTATCAAAAAAAAAAAAAAAAAAATGGTTGTAAAGATTATTATTGAGTTAATTCTTCGATCAATAAAGTAATTGGCGTATGATTTGATCAAACCTTAAATAAAAAGATTTTTTGCGATCTGCAGTTTCATGTGATAGCAACTTATTTATGTAGTACAAATGTTCAAGAGCTTTACCATAATTAATACTAAAATGAATTTCCTTTGAAGTCTTTCTTAATCAAAATTTTACTAGTTCCTTCCTTTTAATTTATACATCCAAATCTTTTTTTTTCAGGGTTCTATGCTAGAAGAATTGTCCGAACAATCGACGAAAATTGGCGATCACTAAGATTATCAAATAACCTTAAATGAAAAAATAGTCTTACTTTAATTAGATATAAATCAAAATATTTATCTTCCAAGGAAAATTCGAATTGATGAACGACATAATTTTCCTAGAAAAGAACTTTAATAATAAATATAAAATGACCGTTTTTTTTCTTTAATCAAAAATCAGGTGTGCAACTTATAATTCTAAAAAAGATGATGCCTTCATATCAAATTCTATACGCGGCTTTACTTTTCTCTTTATTTATCTCCTATAACCCAATTCTATGCAATAAATACAAATATACTCCAGATGAACTTATCGACGGTCATTTATTTTACCTCGAACCAGCAAAAACTGCCTTTTCGCTTGATATTAAACCTATTAGTTATCCTGATAAATGTGAATTAGTACAATTACATTTGAATACTAGACATGGTAATTATTATCTCATGTTTGCAATGCAAATTTAATTGCATAAAATTATCTTTGAATCAATGTTAGGATCGAGGTATCCGGATCCATCTGACATCGTTGCTTACGATGAATTGGAAAAAATATTTGCAAATGTTAATATTGCAAAAGAATGGGTATATAGGATATTTTTTTGTCCTATTATAAAAAATATCATTATTTAATATTATTTCTTTTAGTATAAAAACCCATTCCCGGCGAGTAAGATTTTTAAATTGTTCAAACGAGGAGAACTCGAACCTTTTTACGATGGCATACAATGTCGTAAAAGATACGCAAAATTTTGGAAAGGAGTTGAATATGATCCCGATGTTATAAAATTTCAAAGTTCTGCCACTTCAAGGTACGATTAATTGAAAACTGCTATTTCCAATGTTTAAATGCAAAAATATATAAAACAACTTTACTATTTAAAGGACCGGTGCATCAGCAATGGCATTTGCTGAAGGTTTATTCAATGGTAAGGGACCTTTGGACACTTGTAAAAGTCAACCTGTGTACATTTCGTCTCTTCCGGCCGTAAGATTCTTTTTTTTTCTTTTTTTTTCTTTTTTTTTTATTAAAAGCCGTTTACATAATGCGCTTTATATAGTATCTAGATTATGTGTTACAGCCTCAACTTACCTGTCCACGTTGGACCCAAATCGTTTTCAATAGTCCAGATTACTTTGAACAAATTTATTCCTATGGCAACAAGACTCTAGCACCCATTGCCGAACGTATTTCCAAAGAATACAACATCAGTCCATCACTTGACCCACATTTATTGCCACATGTTTTTACTTATTGTGAATTTTGGATTATTGAATTTAATCGAACTGACACGTGGTGTTCATTACTCAGTCCTAAAGATCTTTTATTGTTACGATATTTTTGGGATATTCATTACTATTATACTCTTCAATATGGTCATCCTTTTAACAAGCGAATGGGTTGTGCCTATCTTACTCAACTCGTAGCAGGAGTTGATGATTTTTTAAATGGGAAATCTTATATGATAGCTGATATAAAGAATTCTCATAGCTATACAATACTTTCGCTGTTCACTTCATTGGTATGTAAATTATTTTTTCATTTTATTATCTTATTTGATTACCTTTTTTTTTTTGATGATAAAGTATTTTTTTGAATACAGGGAGTATGGAAAGAGAAATACCCTCTCACGGCAGATTTACCATATGAAAAAATTAAAGAAGTCAAATTGACGGAGTACGCATCTTTACCCTGGTCTTCCACGGTTTATTTCGAAATTTATACTTGTCAAAAGAAGGAGGTTCTGATACGAATGGTTTTAAACTTTAAACCCATGTTGATCCCGGGTTGTGGAGGCGAGTATTGCAAGTGGGAGAAGTTTAAAGAGATTATTGGTGATCAAATTGGTTGCGATTTTCCAAAGATGTGCACTTTTCCTTAAATAGGATGGGGGGGGGGGGGGAAGTACCAAATATAAATATTTGATTGTAATCTTACGCCATAATTATTATTTTTATTTTCCCCTTTCAATTTTTATTTGTAATCAAAAAAAAAAAAATTCAACGAAACGATTTTACAAATAAACTACAAAAGCATGAAATAATCGTTCTACGTCAGAATTTTACATAATCATAACCAAGAGATTTCTAATAGGAATTTATAATTTACACGCTACAATGTAGAATTTATGAAAGTTCCGTTATTTAAAAATCCTTAATAGACGCCATTCTAAAAAAAAGAACTTTTTAAGAATACTACAGTTCCTGCGAATATTTTTTTTTTTTTAGAAGACCATCATCAGGAAATCCTTTATAAAATGATTGTTGAATCTTAAATTTCAGTGGATTTTAATAGCTATTTGATATTTACTTATTCATTTTTCAGTTGTCTAAAAATGTAATTAACAGGCGAGTTAAGTTATTTACTCAAGAACGGATAATAGGAAAATATGGTCATCGGGCATAATAATTCAAGCATTATATTCTTTGTACTTGCTATCATTGCAATTGATATTCCTGTTGAACCGGAAGTGCCTTCAAATATGGTGCATCCTTTATTTT